TCCGGGAGGGAGCGCGCGCCCGGGAACATGGAAGCCGGGCGCCGCCGGAGCACGCCCCGGACACGCGCGCCCCCGAGCTCGGAGAGCGGTGGGCGGCGGCCACCCAGCTGGGCCCCCACGTTTCCTGACGCGGCCCCTGTGAGACCTCGGCCAGCCTTTCCGGTTGGGAAGTGCTTCGCTGTCATTCGTTCATTCATTCAACAGTTGTCTCTCTTCTGAGGATCTGAGATCTGCCCTCCATTCTTAAAGGCTCGAAGGATACAGCAGTCAGCGAAAAGCAGTTCCTGCTCTCTTGGAACTTAATTGGGGTGAAATCAATTGATAATAATAAATAGAAAAATAAATAGATAATACCCCAGGCGATGGTAAAGGACTATGAAGAAAAGGGAAGCAGGGTAGGGAGACGGTGGGCTAGCATATATGTATCAACCCACCTCAAAAAGCAACAATGAAATTAAAAAAATAAAAGACTAGAAAAAAATATATATATATATATAATTATTATTTTAAAGATGTGAAGTACAATTCAGGATTAGATATGCAAGTGGTCATCGTACAGGTAAAGTTTGGGCCTACCTTTGGTCCCCACTTTGCCTGGTCTGAGATCAGGTGCCCTTATTAATGTTATGTGCCCCTGACCCCCCCCTCCCGGCAGTTTCTGGCTACTGCCAATCCCTTTCTTATGGCATTATAGTACATGTTCGGGGTCTACTTATGAGTGAGAATATATGTTACTCAGTTCTTTGTTTCTGTAACACATCACTAAGTATTATAGACTCTAAATCCATCCAAGTTGCTGCGAAGTTCATAATTTTGTTCTTTATGACCGCGTAATATTCCGTCTTGTGTGAATCTTGTATATGTACCACATTTTTTTTTTATCCATTCCAGTTTCAATGGGGAGCACAGTTGGTTCCATGTTTTTGCTATTGTGAATAGTGCTGCAATAAACATGCGTGTGCTGGTATCTTTTTTGTAGAGTGACTTAAGTCCCTCTGGGTATATTCCCAGAAGGGGAATTGCTGAATCGTGTGGAAGGTCAATTTCTAGTTCTTTTAGGAATCACCACACTTTCCCATAGAGGTTGAACTAGTTTGCATTCCCACCAACAGTGTAGAAGCATTCCCTTTTCTCTGCATCCTCACCAGCATCTGTTGTTTTTTGTTCTATTAATGATGGCCAGCTGGGTGCCATCATTAATAGCTGGGTGCAGTGGCTCACGCCTATAATCCCTAGCACTTTGGGAGGTCAAGATGAGAGAATTGCCTGAGCTCATGGGTTCGATACCATCCTGGGCAACTTGGCGAGGCCTTATCTCTACAATAAATCAAAAACTTAGCCGGGCATGATGGCGCACGCCTGTAGTTCCAGCTACTTGAAGACTAAGGTGGAAGGATCACCTGACCCCAGTAGGTCAAGGCTGTGATAGCCGTGATCATGCCACTGCACTCCAGCCTGGGTGACAAAGTGAGACTCTAACTCAAAAAAATAAAAATAAAAATATGGTGGCCATGGAATATATATGTTTAATGTTCTTAAAAGCATGTCTTAGTTTGCTGGGGCTGCCATAAAAAATATCACAGACTTGCTTAAACAACATAAATTCTCAGTTCCGGAAGTCCAAGATGAAGCGTGGGCAGGTTGGGTCTATCTCAAGACCTTTCTTCTTAACTTGCAGATGTTTTCTTTCTGTGTCCACACATGGTTCCTCTTCTGTGTGTGTGCTCCTTCTTATAAGGACAAATTTCCTCCTCTTATAAGGACACTAGACAGATTGCATTAATGCCTCATTTTAACATAATTATCTCTATCTCTGAATACAGTCATATTGATTAGGGTTTCAACATTTAATTTGGGGGAGGGGGCCACAACTGAACCCATAACAGGACATTTAAGAGACGGCAAAATAGTAAGAGACCAGGTGCAGTGGCTCATGCCTGTAGTCCCTTGAGCCCAGGAGTTAAGGTTATAGTGAGCTGGTTGCACCATTGTACTCCAGCCTGGGCGACAGAAGGAGACCCTGTCACAGGAAAAAAAATAAAAGCCGGTATCCAAGGAGGCAATCTAATCTGGAAGATGATTTTGCCCTGAAGGCATTTACCTGTAAAATGATGATCTTCCTTTTGAACTAAATAAAACAATGAGTGGAAGGTGAAATAGAAGACCATCCGTACAATAACAGAAGCTCCAAAGGGCTACAATCTTAGGGTGAGAATGAATTGGAAACGGAACAGCTGTAGAAGAATTTGTAGACTGGAATCAAATTGCCTGTCTCAAGACATGATCTTGGTCTGAGGTAGTCTGACTGTGGTGCCACCAGATACCTGGCAAAAGCAAATACAAATCCTCTTTGGAAGAAAGCATTATAATTGTAGGGCCCAAATTATTCCTTCTCATAAGATTTCACAGACAGTGTCAAATATAGAATTAAAGATAACCAGGCACATGAAGAAACTAGGCTCCTTTAGTGAGAACCAGTAGAAACACCAACACCAGAAACAGTCTGCAGAGATAACTGCTTTTGGAATTATCCGAAGCAAACCATAAAATAATATTTTCTTTGCTCAGAGAAATGAAAGATAATTTGGACAATTGAAAGAGTAAACTGAGACAAGGTGGGCTGGTGCCACGGGAATAATACAAGACTGCAACAGAGAAAGAAGTAAAGTTTATTAGCCACTTTCCACAGACAGAGACCGGCACTCGATAGGCAAGTGTGGCCCCAAAGGGGTGAGAACTAGATATATTTAAGGCCCCTTGGGACAAGGGAGGGGTTTGAACTTGGAGGGATCTGGGCCAAAATGAAATGTCCAGGGCTGCCTTCTTTGATGTTGATAGCAGCCACATAAGTCTTGACTCTTGACATCACCAGGCACCAGCACCTCATGACCTCAGGTAGTGGACTGGAGGTCATCATGGACGGCTGATAACAATGTATCAATACGAATACCTGGAAGAAAGATTGTTAGGAGGACTGGACGTGCTTAAGGGGGTTTGAATAATCACTGAGCCCTGGCTGGGCATGATGGCTCAACCTTTAATCCCTGTACTTCAGAAGGCCAAGGCAAAAGGATTGCCTG